ATTCCAGGGAAAAAATTCCAGGTGGGAATTTTGGGTGGGAATTTCCACTTGGGAATTCCGGTTGGGAATTTCGAATTCCAGGGGGGAAATTCCAGGTGGGAATTTCGGGCGGGAATATCCAGGGAAAAAAATTCCAGGTGGGAATTCCAGGTTGGAAATTCCAGGTGGGAATTTCCGGTTGGGAATTTCGAATTCCAGTTGGGAATCGCAATTGGGAATTCCGGTTGGGAATTCCGCCTTTCCTCACCATGTCCGTGTAGATCTCGGTGGCGCGGAGCAGGCAGTTCACGGCCTCTGGAAAAACGGGAAAAAAATCGGGAATGGGGCTGGAAAAATCGGGAAAAACCCTCGGGATCCCAACCCAAAATCCCCGGGATCGGGATAAAAACATTCCCGGATTCCGGGAAAAGCTTTGGGAGATCAAAATTCCCGGGTTTTTTTTTGGTTGGGGTTGTTGCGTTATCCCGGAAAACGGCCCCAAAAAAGCGGGAATATTCTGGGAATGGGGAGGGGGTTGGGATTCCAGAGGCTCCAGGGACATCCCGAGGTTTTTCCATCCCAAAAATCCGCACAAAAGTCCGGAATTTTCCTCCCTTCCCCCATCTGGAGCCAGCGGAAGCCAAAACCTCGGGAATTCTGCCCAAAACTCCGGGAATTCTGCCCAGAAACTTGGGAATTTGCCCAGAACTTGGGGAATTCTGCCCAAAACCTTGGGAATTTTGCCCAAAACTTTGGGAATTCTGCCAAAAACTGCAGGAATTCTGCTCAAAACTTTGGGAATTCTGCCCAGAACTCTGGGAATTCTGCCCAAAACTCTGGGAATTCTGCCCAGAACTCTGGGAATTCTGCCCAAAACTCTGGGAATTCTGCCCAGAACTCTGGGAATTCTGCCCAGAACTCTGGGAATTCTGCCCAAAACTCTGGGAATTCTGCCCAGAACTCTGGGAATTCTGCCCAGAACTCCAGGAATTCCGCCCGGAGCTCGGCTCCATCTGCTCGGATCCAGGCGATTCCCGCCCCCGGAATTCCGGCTGCAGCCCAAAATCCGACGGAAAAGTGGGAAAAGAGCCCCCCCCCCGGCACAAATTCCATGGGAAAAGGGGAAAATCTGGGAATTTTGGGGAATTCCAGGGGGATTTGGGGCTCCTGGGGCTGCGGAAGAGCCGGAACCCTCTGGAATTGCGATGGGAATCGGGAATCGTGCCCTGGGATCTCATTCCTGGGGAATTCTGTGGGAATTCTGGGGATTTCCAGCCCCCACAGCCACACCAGGCCGAGAACTCCCCAAAATTCCCAAGATTCCCAAAATTCCTGCTCCCCACCCCGCGGATCCGCCGTCCTACGGATCCAGCAGGATTTTAGTGGGATTTTCATGGGATTTCCCAGGATTTTAACGGGATTTTCCAGGATTTCCCAGGATTCCAAGGGATTTCCCAGGATTTAAATAGGATTTCCCAGGAGTCCAACAGGATTTCCCAGGATTTCAATGGATTTCCCAGGATTCCAAAGGATTTCCCAGGATTTCAATGGGATTTCCCAGAATTCCAAGCGAATTTCCCAGAATTCCATGGGATTTCCCAGGATTTAAATGGGATTTCCCAGAATTCCAAAGGATTTCTCAGGATTCCAAGGGAATTTCCCAGGATTCCAAAGGATTTCCCAGGATTCCAAAACGACTTCCCAGAATTCCATGGGATTTCCCGGAATTCCATGGGATTTCCCAGGATTTTAATGGGATTTCCCAGAATTCCAAAGGGATTTCCCAGGATTCCATGGGATTTCCCAGGATTCCATGGGATTTCCCAGAATTCCATGGGATTTCCCAGGATTCCAAGGGAATCTCCCAGGATTTTAACGGAATTTAACGAGCCTTCAGCAGCACCCGCTGACATTTCCTGGGATCCAGGTGGATTTTCCCGGGATTTCACGGAATTCCAGCCGATTCCGGCGGGAATTTTGACGATTCCCGGCCCCCGCTC